CAACCCATCAAGAGAAGCATTCAATACTTGGCGCTCAAGTTGAAAAAAAAACTGCCATCCTTATGAAATAACTCAAAGGAATGAAGAACTGCATATACTTATGAATTAGGCTGGTCGGCAATAATGATAGTAACAACGTCAGCTCTTTCCTATCCATTCTCTCATTGCTTCCTCATGAAAATCCTGGGTATGGTGGACAGGGAGGGATTTACCTTCTGTTCTTCCTGTGGAACCATGGTTTCTATTCACTCAAAATAATTTGACAGCCAACAGGCATAATGGATAGAGCTCCTCTTATTTACTTTTTATTTCTTCTAAAAAATAAAAATAAAAGGATACAGGTGTAGAACATGCAGGTTTGTTACACAGGTATATGTGTGCCATGGTGCTTTGCTGTACCTATTGATCCATCTCTAAGTTCTCTCTCTCACCCCCCAACCTCAACAGGCCCCTGGTGTGTGTTGTTCCCCTCTCTGTGTCTGTATGTTCTCAATGTTCAACTCCACTTATGAGTGAGAACAAGTGGTCTCTGGCTTCGTTCCTGTGTTAGTTTGCTGAGGATGATGGCTTTGGGCTTCATCCATGTTCCTGCAAAGGACATGAATCACCTCTTTTATGGCTGCATAGTATTCCCATGGTGTACACGTACCACATTTTCATCCAGCTCATCATTGATGGGCATTTGGGTTGGTTCCATGTCTTTGCTATTGTGAATAGTGCTGCAATAAACATGCATGTGTCTTTATAGTAGAATGATTTACATTCCTTTGGGTGTATACTCAGTAATGGGATTGATGGGTCAAATGGTATTTCTGGTTCTGGATCTTTGAGGAATCACCACACTGTTTTCCACAATGGTTGAACTAATTTGCATGCCTACCAACAGTGTAAAAGTGTTCCTATTTCTCCACAGCCTCTCCAGCATCTATTGTTTCCTGACTTTTTAATAATCGCCATTCTGACTGGTGTGAGATGGTATTTCTCTGTTGTTTTGATTTGCATTTCTCTAATGATCAGTGATGATGAGCTTTTTTTCATATGTTTGTTGGCCACGTAAATGTCTTCTTTTGAGAAGTGTCTGTTCATATCCTTGCCCACTTTTGATGGGGTTGTTTTTCTTTGTAAATATGTTTAAGTTACTTGTAAATTCTGGATATTAGACCTTTGTCAGATGGGTAGATTGCAAAAATTTTCTCCTATTCTGTAGGTTGCCTGTTCACTCTGATGGTAGTTTGTTTTGCTGTGGCAGAAGTGGACGCAGCACCTGAGAGGTTTCCATGGCCTGAACGACTGACATTATCTGGCTGTGCATCCTGGGCACATCGCTCAACCCCGAGTCTCCTTTAACTCAAACTGCTTCCACAGCTGCTGAATGGTTCAAATTGGCTACCTGATGTGAATGTGCTTTGAGATGCAAATACATACAAAGGTGACATGTCTGATGGCTTGCTGGCTCTGTTCGTAAGCCGGAACCAATGATAATAATTTCAGTCCAAAACTGGCCTTCCCTTTACCCACTCCTGTTACCAACACTCTAGGGTTTCCAGTCAGTCTGCACATTGGCACACCTAGGCATGGATAAAACACGGTTACAATAAGGCAAAATAAATATTTATTAGAAATCAAAAAACCATTTCTTCAATGGCACAAACATGTTCTTACTTCGTACGAGCTTCTTCCTTGAACACAGAGTTTCACACACACACAATAACACTAAGAACAAGTAGGTAAATAAGAATTCTACAAGGATTCGCACATTCAAGGATAATGGATGACAATTCTGTGTTTAACCAAGATCACAGTAAAAATATGTAAATCAATGCAGAAATCAAGTATCGCTTACAGGCCCGGATGACGGCCCATCTACCCGGGCCCTGCCCAGAGCGAAAGGACACAGGTCACCAGGCCTTGAGGAAGGAAAGGAATGTCAATAATACTGACTCCTTTCTCAAGCGGAGCCTTCTAAGAGCTTAATGACTTCACAGTACAACCTCCAGCACCTTCTCCCACATCCCAGGGAGGAAGGTTAAGCACCTTTTATTCCAAACAGATATATCACATAATGTCTAGAATAATGAATTCTTCTGAGGAAAAGTTTAGCTAAAGGAGCATTTACAGCCAAGGCACTATCTGAGCCTGGGAGATCCCATCCCTGGAAAACGCTCACCTGAAATTACCGGAAATGTCAATCACGGAGTTTTAAGATGTCCTGATAGACCCATGGGTTCAGTGGGGGTGTGGGTGTGGGTGTATGGGGGTGGGTGTGTGTGGGTGTGTGTCGTGAGTGTGGGGTGTGCTTTTGTGCACCCTGTGGGCACACCTGAATTCAACTAGTCACAGGGAACACAGGGGACAATGGGCATACAAAATGAAACACCTGAGAAAACAGTCCTGCCCCCCAATATAAGCCAACTACAAAGAAAGACTCAAAATGGTAGAATAACTGTGCTTTTTAAAACTAAATGAATAATGGCTCAGGGAGACATCTGTGGTCCAAGAATCAGGACACTCCAGCCTCCGCAGCTCTGATATGACCTTCCCGCATGACTTTGCCCAAGTACAGGCTCCTTTTGAGCATTAGACTTGCTGGGGTAAAATGAAGGAAGTGGTCCTTCTCACTCTGATGCTTCTTGACTCATGGCTTCCCTTGGTAAACCTACCCAGGCTCAGACCTTTTAACTGAAAGCCTTTTGGGGTGGACAAGGTTGGGAAGAATATCCAATACAGAAAATGGTCTTGCCAACCAATTCCATCCAGACCCACAGAGAGCAGCTCTCTATCACGTGTGAGATGACAAACATCCATCTACTCTCCATTCCGGACTTGGACAAAAGCTGGCAGGTTAGGCAAATAGAAATCGATAATTGGCTTTATCCATTAATATCTGAGTCAAAGCAATTCTGGATATGGTTTGTCCATAAGATACAGCTTTATCCATTAACGACAGGACTTTTCTCGTTAATATCCGAGTCAAAGCAATTCTGGAATTCCCAGCTCCACAGTGTAGAGTGTGGCATCATGAATCCTAACCACTTCCTTTCAGACCAAGATGTCTGTTCAGGCTTAATGCGGGTAGCTAACTCCAGATGTGGAATGCTGCCTGCGTAACTTAGGCTAAAAAGGGACCTTGGCACTTCTTCCAATGACCATTTTCAACAACATCCCTCACTAAGTGCTCCACCAGCTTTTGCTTAAACATCTCCAACATCTGAAGCAGCTGCTGGATTGGATTGAGCCAAAATCTTTCTCAGTTTCCTAGTTCTGCCCATTCTGGAACACATCCGCTCCTCCTGCCTCTAGGACAGTCCGCCTCACATCTTCTCCAGAGGCCCATGCCTAAGCTCTCACCACTGTGGCTCAGAGTATGCAGTTACCCCTGGGTCAGCCGAGGGCAGGGGTTGCCAGGATTGTGAAGCCGCACACACCCCAGCCCACCTCTCCCCAACCAGACCCATCAGGGGCACAGAGTCTCTATCTGCGCAGCTAGTCTGGCACACGGAGTGGCCCAGAGCAGAGCAACTGGCCCAGAGTGCACTGCCAGGTCCGCACTCCTTAGCTTGCTCCCAAGCCAGATGAACTAATCCATTGCCGTGTTATCTGGAAGGTCAAATTTCTATTTCTCCCATTTACAGATTAACATTCACGGTTACTATTTTTATAATTCCACTCCTAACATTTTTACATGAATCTCACTAGCTAACGGTGGCAGAGTGGGATTTTCTGGTGGTCTGGCCCCAGTCACCTGGCAACTTCTTCCATCTCCACTTCACTGCTCCCCAGACTGACTCTGTGTCATTTCAGAAGGAGAACATCAGAGGATGAGGACCTAAAAATAAGCCCAAAGTCTTGGCAAAGGCTTCTCTTCTCTCACAAGCTCCCCCTTCAGCTTCAAAAAATTCACAAAGCTAAAAAAAAAAAAAATACTATACCAAAGCAGTTGAGGCATTTTGTTAAATTCCCCACTGAGACAATACTGAGGTATGTACTAACTGCTGAGTTGTAAGATGGCATCGATCGAGCAGCTGCTACTTCTAAGCCTGAAGAAGCCAAGTCCCAGCGAGGCAGGCGCTACCACAGGCCAGGACACGGACAAGAGCCAGGCCCTTTCACCCAGATCGCAGCAGCCCAGCGGACTTGCCCGGCGTGTCTCATGCAGACTTTTGTGTGTGTGAAGAAAAGCTTTTTGTCTGGCTCTGGGCACCCTGAGGCCAAATATATAATACTTACATCCAGCCCCAAAGCTCCCAATCTGTTCTTCCACTTTGAAAATCACATACTTCATTGTAGTAATTTTCATTCTTAACTGAAATGTCTTTTCCATATTGAAAAAATTAAACCCTGTGTTACTCATGCTACTAAAAACCTGTCTCAGCTTGAGACGGGGTGAACCTTGGGGCGCCTAGGACGTTCACTCCAAGGATGCTCCTTCTCCCTGAAGGGTTCCGAAGGATGTTTCCAGAGCTCATTCCTCTTCCTCCCCAGGATATCCTCGCTTACCTCCGTCCCCGCACACTCTGGGATGGGATCAAGGGTCTCCCCAAATTCAGGCAACCCAGTCACAGCAGGAGAGAAGGCACAACGTGTGGGCTGGGGCTGGGGCTGACAGGGAAGCTGGCAGGGAGGAAAGGCGCCTCTCCCTGCTCCTCAAGGCTCCTGCCCCTTCCCTGCCACCCATCTCTGCCAGCCAAACCCCACTCAACTGGTAAAATCAGAGGCTTCCCCAGGACTTCAGGAGGCTCCGAGGCTCCAGACTGCTGCTGGCTGTAGGTTTACACCAACTCTTTGCCAAGTAACAAAATCCAGGATGTTTCCCACCCAGACAAACTAATAACTGCCCCTCAGTTCAGACACCCACTGAGCACTTGAACATGAGGGTGCACTCTGCTTCTCGAGACCAGCAAAGGCGACCTCCATCACCCCGCGCAAAGCCTCTCCGCAGAGGTCAGATTCCGCCTGCAGCGCCAGACAGCGCACGCGCACGCCAGCTCCGGGTTCCTGGGCTACACCGACGTCTCCGGGAAATCCTAGCTTTCAAAGGCATTGAGAGTGGTTTTGCTGTTGTTCCTGGAAGAATCTTGGATTTTGTTGAAATCTGCTTTTTAAAAAATATATATTTTAGAAATAGATCACTCTGCATAATGTGTTTCTTTGTCTTTTTTTTTTTTTCCCTTGTCTTTTTTTTTTTTTTTTTTTTTTTTGAGATGGAGTTTCACTCTTGTCACCCAGGCTGGAGTGCAGTGGTGCGATCTCAGCTCATTGCAACCTCCACCTCCCAGGTTCAAGCAATTCTCCTGACTCAGCCTCCCAAGTAGCTGGGATTATAGGCACCCACCACCACGTTCAGCTAATTTGTGTATCTTTAGTAGAGACGGGGTTTTGCCATGTTGGCCAGGCTGGTCTCAAACTCTTGATCGCAGGTGAGTCACCCAACTCGGCCTCCCAAAGTGCTGGGATTACAGGCGCAAGCCATCGTGCCCTGCCTGCATGGTGTGTTTCTATGGCTTAGGGCTACACCGTTTTAAAAGTCATGCCAACTAGAGTTCTAAAAGTCAGAGCTGGAAGAGACCTAAGAAGCATTTCCATTCAACCCTCCTACTTCTGGACAGATGGGAAAAGTCAGGACCCTTAGATTTGATCTGCCCAAGGTTACGTGGTTCGAGACAGAGGGACACCATGTCACCTCACACAGCAACAGTACCTGCCCGTCTGACAGGCCCCCGGTCTTCGTTAAGGAAGGAGACGTGTGTCTTCCATCCAGTCCACTTCACCTCATTGATCCTGCAAGTGGGATCATCATTCTTACTATTTCACCAGTGCCTCACTGAGTGCAAACAAATAACCCTGGTTTGGGGCGGCCCTGTGTCTACACAGCTCCCCTTCTGTCTGTCCTGGAGATCAGAGCGCTTAACCCCAGTGGTCACACCAGCGCGTTGAGTTTGAACTCTATCCCCATCTCCATGTCCCCAGGCCTCAGAGAATCAGTTCTCCTTCCACTGTAGGGAACTCAGAAATCCTGCAAGCTGGCTCAGACAGGTATAAAGGGTCCAACTTCAGATAACAGCAGCTGTGCCTGACTGGTGACACCAAGGGGAAGCGGGACAAAGAGCAAGAGGGAGGGGCCCAGGCCACGAGGGTGTGAAGATTAAACCTGAAGTGTAGTTGAAGGAGGAGGCACGAAGCGCCTGTGGTTAGGGTCTATGCCCTAACAAGAGTGGGTGACGTCTGAGGTGTTCGAACACAACCGTAGGCATTGATGTGACCAAATTCACATCCACAGAGAAGGTCTCTAGAGTGAGGGTGGCAACATCAGAAATGTTTGTTAGAGTAATCATTGCAGTCAGAAATGAAGCTTTCCAAGGGGTGGGGTTTCAGTCAGAGAAGTGGGTTAAGGTCATACTAAAGAAGGTGGTCCGTAGGCTCAGGTAGCTGGGTCAGGGTAGGAGGAGGTGGGCTTACTGTAAAGGTGGTCATGGAACTGGGCACGGTGGCTTATGCCTGTAATCCCAGCACTTTGGGAGGCCAAGGCAGGTGGATCACTTGAGGCCAGGAGTTCAAGACCAGCCTGGGCAACATGATGAAACCCCGTCTCTACTAAAAATACAAAAATTATCCAGGCGTGGTGGCGTGTGCCTGTAGTCCCAGCTACTGGGGAGGCTGAGGCATAAGAATCGCTTGAACTGGAGAGGCCGAGGTTGCAGTGAGCAGAGATCACACCACTGCACTCCAGCTTGGAACTCCATTTAAAAAAAAAAAAGAAAGAAAGAAAGAAAGAAAAGAAAAGAAAAGAAAAAGAAAAAGGTGGTTGTGGATAAGTAAGGCGACTTTTAAAAAAATAAAAAGAAAAAAGAAAAGCCAGAGATCTGTCAAAGTAGCTGTGTCACTTTCCATCTGCCAGGAGCAAATGGGGACTCAAGTCACCTGGGGTCATAGGAACTCACACTGGTAAACAGCAGGAAAAGGAGGTTAAGCAGGCAGATCTTCCCTAAACCAGATAGCAAACAGAGAGAGACCGTGGAGGCACTTTCAAAAAGGCAGAGGGGCTGGGCGTGGTAGCTCACGCCTGTAATCCCAGCACTTTGGGAGGCCGACGTGGGTGGATGACCTAAGGTCAGGAGTTCAAGACCAGCCTGACCAATGTGGTGAAACTCTGCCTCTAATAAAAATACAAAATTAGCTGGGTGGGGTGGCACATGCCAGTAATCCCAGCTACTCAGGAGGCTGAGGCAGGAGAATTGTTTGAACCCAGGAGGCAAGGTTGCAGTGAGCCAAGATCATGCCATTGTACTCCAGCCCGGCAACAAGAGCAAAACTTGCCCTAAAAACAGAAAAAAAAAGAAAAAAAAGGCAGAGAGGGGAGCCACTTCGTTGGCAGTCTCTTCTCTTTCTCTTCTTGGAGCCCAGGAACCCCCATCCCAGGCCTGCAACCCCAAAAGCAAATTCCTTCTCTTTCCAAGGAGGCTACTGGGAGAGACAGCAGCTGTGGTTATGGTGAGCAAGTAGCTGCACTGTTTCTCTAACATCTTGTCATCGACTGCCCTCTACCCACCCCAAAGACCACCGCCCAGCGCTCTCTTGGTTACCGCAAACACAGCCTGAAATCTTCTCGGCCACTCTGCACAGCTCTCTCCCATCCGAATCTGCTCCTCAGCCATTCTGGTAACATTTTCTCAAACTCCAAGATGGTCCTGGCTCTCTGGGGACATAAGCAAGTCTAAGGAGTAGGCACTCACACTCACAAGGACACACAAGTGCACACACACTGTCAGTGAGCCCACTCCCCGCCCATGCTTAACGGATCGGAAGGGTTTGGCCGATCTACAGAATTCAAAGACAAAAAGCAGGTCATCACGGTGGCTCGCGCCTGTAATCCTAACACTTTGGGAGGTCAAGGCGGGTGGATCACCTGAGGTTAGGAGTTCAAGGCCAGCCTGGCCAACATGGTGAAACCCTGTCTGTACTAAAAAACACAAAATTAGCTGGACTCAAGGTCAGACGTCTATAATCCCAGCTACTCAGGAGGCTGAGGCAGGAGAATCACTTGAACCCAGGGGCTGAAGGTTGCAGTGAGCCGAGATCCCTCCACTGCACTCCAGCCTGGGCGACAGAGCGAAACTCCATGATATAAATAGTATTTCTGAAAGCCCAGGAGCTTCCTATCTGACAGGGCTGGGGTCCTGGAATCCATATAAAGGACCATTCAAACATCATTTAGTCCCACCCTCCCAGGCTTGGAACCTCTGCTGTTTCCCTGGGCCATAATTTTTCCAGTCTCTCTTGTAGCAGTATCAACAAACCAATTAAGAGGGCCTTGGTTGTACAGTGGCTCACACCTGTGGTCCCAGCACTTTGGGAGGCTGAGGCAGGTGAATCGCTTGAGTTTAGGAGTATAAGGTTGTGCCTGCACAGGAAACCCCATTTTACAAAAAAATACAAAATGACTCAGGTGTGGTGGTGCTGCAGCCTGCAATCCAGCAGTTTGGGAGGCTGAGGTGGGCACCGCTTGAGCCCGGGAGGCAGAGGTTGCAGTGAGCTGATATATTCGCCATTGCACTCCAGCCTGGGTGATAGAGCAAGACCCTGTTCAAAAAAAAAAAAAAAAAAAAAAAAGGAGGGCTCTTGGGCCAATGAGAAACTTCTATGTCACACAAAGTTTTTTCTCCTGTAGTACCCCATACCTCTGCCTCTGGGACCACAGAAGGGGTCTGCTCCCTCTTTCACAGGTTGCTCTGTAGATATCTGAAGGCACTCTCACCTTTATCAATAAGCATTTCTTTTTTTTTTTTCTTTTGAGACAGAGTTTTTGCTCTGTCACCCAGGCTGGAGTGCAATGGCATGATCTCGACTCACTGCAAGCTCCACCTCCTGGGTTCAAGCGATTCTCCTGCCTCAGCCTCCCGAGTAGCTGGGATTACAGGCGCTCACTACCACAATCTCGGCAAGTTTTTGTATTTTTAGTAGAGATGAGGTTTCACCAGGTTGGCCAAGCTGGTCTCAAACTCTTGACCTCAGGTGATCCACCCGCCTCGGCCTTCCAAAGTACTAAGATTATAGTGAGCCACCACGCCGCCGCCAACAACTATTTCTTATAGCTCCCAGTCCTCTCTCACACCTGAACACACCTGGACCCATCCTATGCATTGCTCTCAGCACGTAAGAAGTGTTCAGGCCAGGATGGAATAGAGCAGAACTGTCACCTCCATTGTCCTAGGCGCTGTACTCCTCTTAATACAACCTAAGGTCGATTCAACATCCACCCATCACACTGTCAACCCGTGGAGCAGAACACCCTGTAAGCCTGAGTTTTTCTACACATGCTGTTGCACAGCCACACTTCCTAGACCCTACACTCAAAGAACCTAGGCTAAGGCTTCCTCAAACCTACACCGAGAGCTTGTGCAGATTCTTCGTGGCCCCACCGCAGACCCACTGGTGCTATTGGGGCCGCCAATGACCATGTGCTGAAATGAATCCCACATGGAGGCCCCCACACTGGGGTCTCCACCCAGACCTCACCTGCAGGCGCCTGATACGCCGCTTCCTGGAGACGTTCTCCACAGTCTCGCTCATCAGGGCAATGAGCATGTTGAGGAGCAGAAACGAAGGTGAGGATGACGTAGGTGATGAGCAGGAAACAGTGAATGGGATACTTGGAGTTCTGCTGGATGTTCAGGTCACCCAGGCCAATGGTGAGCTTGAACAGTTCCAGCACCCGTCGCTGAAGCTGCCGTAGGAGCTGCAGTCCTTTGCTTGTCTTTGGGACACTTCGATCAGTGAGGCCAGGGCTAGGGGAAGCCCAACAGGGTGCTCTCTCAGCTCTCCGCCTGGTGAATTACCTCCTACAAGCTTGGTGTGTGGCTTGCCCACATGACAAGCCTGCCCTTCTCTCTGGCTATTAAATCCCATCTCCAGCTTCTGTGGTCTCCCAAAGCCTCACCAGGCTGACTTCTGCCCTGGCCTCCTGCAGCCCTTCCGCCTAACAAACTCCAGAGTCTTCTCCTCTCTACCCCACAGTCGGCCCTTGATCACTTCCAGCCTTGCAGAGTTGCTAATTATAATCCATGTGTGTCCCTGCCCCAGCTAGTCTTGAGCTCCTGACTTCCTCTAGCCTGGAGCTATCTCCTCAAGGCTGTAAGATCTCGAGTCTTTCCTAATGGTCTGCTGTGAGTTTCCATGAGCAAGATCAGGCTCACACTTCCCTTCTTTCCAACACACCACAGTAGACGCTGTACTGCTGGATGGATGGATGGATGGATGGATGGATGGATGGATGGATGATTAGATGGATGATTGGATGGATGAATGAATGAATGGATGGATGGATGGATGAGGGATTAGATGGATGGATAGATAGATGATTGGATGGATGGATGGAGGGAGGGAGGGATGGATGGATGGATGGATGATTGGATGGATGGATGGATGGATGGATAGATGGATGGATGGATGGATGGATGGATGGATGGATGGATGATTAGATGGATGGATGCTTGGATAGATGATTGGATGGATGGATGGATGGATGGATGGATGGATGGATGGATGGGATGGGATGGAGGGGATGATGGATGGATGGATGATGGATGGATGGATGGATGATTAGATAGATGGATGATAGATGATTGATGGATGGAGGAATGGATGGATAGATGATTAGATGGATGGATGGATTAATAATGATGATTAGATGGACGGATGAATGAATGGGTGGATGATTGGATGGATTGATGGATTGATGGATGGATGGATGGATGGATCAATGATGGACTGTCGGATCGATGGATCAATGGATGGATGATTGATAGATGAATGATGGATGATTGGATGGATGGATGGATGGATGGATGGATGACTAGATAGGTGGATGAGCAAATTAAATGAGAGAGTAAATAGATGGATTAATAAACAAGCAGGTGAAGGAGCAAATAAATAAACAAATTGTGACCCAGAAAAGGTACCAGACAGATGGACACAGCTCCCACCCCAAATGTCAATGGTCACTGAAGAAAAGAAAAAAGCAACTGGTATGTGGGAAAACGATCTCTATGCAGAAGTTAGAAATGCAACCAGATGGTGCTGTTCCCTCTGTCATACATGGAGAGATTTTAAGAGGGGCTCCTCTCTGGTCCCAGCAGACCAGAGAGGCTCTCACAGTTATATCTAAAGCAAACTGTGAGAGCAACATGATGTGAAACCCAAAGGAAGTTGCCTCAGGGCATGTTCTTGTCTCTACTAAAAGACCATCAGCTCTGAGTTTCTGTGGACTTTAGTTTCCCCATCTGTGTAAATCGGGCTGAAAACACTTGCAGGACCTTGTCTTAGGTCGAGGGCTACATAAGCAATGAATGGGAAAGCCAGAGGTGTATACCACACAGTGAAGCTGGATTATGACTGGCTGGCCTGTTTCAAATCCTGGAGTCTCTAAGCCTCAACTATCTCCTATGATCAGCTATGACTCCCACTTGACTGGGTTAAGCGAGAGAAGTAAAGGTAATGCTTGAAAATGCCAAGCTTGGCAGGTGCCCCCACTGGTAGCTGGTCTAATTGCTGCTGAGGTTAACATGTGCTTTTGTCATTTTTGACATCTGAATAAAGTGTTTGCAAATGTGGGAGTTACTATCATTTATAAATCAATTACCTACTCCAAATCCAAGCAAAAAAACGATATATACGAACAAGAACTTCAAAACATCATGCAAAATGACCTACAAAGAAATAAACATAATTCAAGAGTAAGACAAGCACATATTCACGGTCCCCGATCTTCCCGTTTCCCACCCTCCCACTTCCCCCCGCAACCATCTCCTCACCTCACTTAGGCCACTCTCCTCTCCCCAGCCAAATCCTCCTGATGCTCCAACACCCAGCCTGGAATCCCACCTCCTCCAGGAAGCCTTCTGTTTCTGCTGTAGCCCCAGGTTCTCTTCTCCTGTGATTCACCCTGTGCCTTCACCATAGGTCTCACGACCTGGAATCCTCACATTCCTGGAGGCAGTGGAGATGCTGGAGCTAGCTCAGAACAGTCAAGAAGAGCTGATCGTTAACTTCTCATGAAGCTTGTGAGCTGGTTGTTAAACACAGCCATTATTCAGAACTAAATCAAACTCTTCAGTTATAATGATGAATAAGCTCTGGGATCTAACGGACAGCATGATGGCTGTAGTTAAATAATACTGTGTTGTGGACTAGAAATCTGCTAAGAGAATAGATCATAAATGTTCTCACCACACAAAGAAATGGTAACTATGTGAGGCGATGGGTATGTTAACCACCTGAAATTGGGAATCATTTCACAATATATACCTATATCAAATCCTCACATTGTATATCTAAATTTATACAATTATATAATATGTCAACTATACTCAATAAAGTTGGGGATAAGGCTGGGCGTGATGGCCTGGGCGCGCCTGTAACCCTAGTATCACTTTGGGAGGCCGAGGCGGCGGATCACGAGGTCAGGAGATCAAGCACCATCCTGGCTAACACAGTTGCCTCTGTCTCTACTAAAAATACAAAAAATTAGCCGGGTGTGGTGGTGGCACCTGTAGTCCCAGCTACTCAGGAGGCTGAGGCAGGAGAATGGGGTGAACCCGGGAGGCGGAGCTTGCTGTGAGCTGAGATCGTGCCACTGCACTCCAGCCTGGGCGACAGAGCAAGACTCCATCTCAAAAAAAAGAAAAAAGAAAAAAAAGTTGAGGATAAATTATTATTTGTATTGCCAAAAATTAAACCATATAAACTTACAATTAAATAATAATATATTAAACAGAGACAAGCTGGCACAATGCACTAAGCCTGTAATCCCAACACTTTGAGAGGCCGAGGTGAGTGATCGCCTGAGGCCAGGAGTTGAGGCCAGCCTGGTCAACATGGCAAAACCCCGTCTCTACTAAAAATACAAAAATACAAAAAAAAAAAAAAAAAAATACAAAGGTGGCACTCACCTTTGATCCCAGCTACTCCAGAGGCTGAGGCAGAAGAATTGCTTGAACCCAGGAGGAAGAGGTTGCAAGGAGCCTAGATCGTGCCACTGCACTCCAGCCTGGGAGGCAGAGCAAGACTCCATCTCAAAAAAATTAAATGAATTTAATTAAATAAAACAAAGACAATAAATGTTCAAAACTCATCCCTGTTCAGTTATTTCCACTGTATTTACAATTATGTGTGCTTTGAGGTTACTTATCTCTACTATATATATGGCGGAATTCTAGAGTGGTGTGATTCATGTATTTCTCCCTAACTCCATGTCCAGTAACATAATGTTGGTAGCTGGAAATCAGCCCTGGGAGGAGAACAGTAGTCTGCCCTTCTCTTCGATTTCCCTTTCTGCAGTTTTGCTGCTCGTATCAACTAAGACCCAGAAATCTTACACATAATACAATAGTCTGAAAGAGAGAGACAACGCTCACCTACTTTTATTACAGTGTATTGTTATCATTGTTCTGTTAGTTATTGCCATTAATATCTTGTGCCTAATTTATAAAATACATTTATAATTCCACATAGCCAGTTGAGTCTTAAAATCATTTGTTGCTTCCCCCACTCGCCCCAGCACTTTGGGAGGCCGAGGTGGGGCGGATCACCTGAGGTCAGGAGTTGAGACCAGCCTGGCCAACATGATGAAACCCCATCTCTACTAAAAATACAAAAATTAGCTGAGCCTGGTGGCGCACACCTGTAGTCCCAGCTACTCAGGAGACTGGGGCGGAAGAATTGCTGGAGCCCGGGAGGCAGAGGTTGCAGTGAGCCAAGATCGCACTATTGCACTCCAGCCTGGGTGACAGAGCGAGACTCAGTCACAAAAAAAAAAAAAAGCAAAAAATTATTCTAAGACTCAACTGGCTAAGTGAAATTTACACAAACTGTATTGTATAGTATATTTTCATTTTGCATAGACATATGTATAGGAAAAACAGCATATTATATAGGGTTTGGTACTATCTGCAGTTTCAGGCATTCATGGGGGTCTTAGAACATTTTCCTGGGAAGAATAAGGTGGCTCCTGTATTTACATCATGAAAATTGGTAAATGCCACAAAATGAGAGATTGGATTGATTCCTATTGTTTTGTTGATATTCAGATTCATGATTTAAGACAGTAATGCAGAAACTATTAATCCAGATCAAATTAGAAATGTGTTCTGTCCGCAGCCTTTACATTATGTATAAAGTACAAAAATATCAACAGAATATTCTTCCGATATTTGCAAACTAGTATCCAATTCAGCAAAGAAGTTGCTCACATCATTGATAAACAAGTAAAGTTCAACATAAATCTTAATTGTTTTGTTTTTAATCACTGCTTATAAAGAAAATCTCAACCAACATTCATATCTGGAACAGCACTCTTCAAGCAATGGCAACCAAAAGTTGACAACAAAAACTAGAATTCAATAAAAAGCAACAAATAGGCCGGACGCCGTGGTTCACGCCTGTAAGCCTAACACTTTGGGAGGCCAAGGCGTAGTGAGCACCTGTTCAGGAGTTCAAGACAATCCTGGCCAACATGGTGAAATCCCATCTCCACTAAAAATACAAAAATTATCCAGGCATGGTGGTGCATGCCTGTAATCCCAGCCACTCTGGAGGCTGAGGTGCGGGAGAATTGCACTAACCCAGAAGGAAGAGGCTGTAGTGAGCCGAGATCGCGCCACTGCACTCCAGCCTGGGGACAGAGTGAGACTCAGTCTCCAAAAAAAAAAAAAAAAAAAAAAAAGCAAATTATTCTAAGACTCAATCATTGGAATTTACAATAAACTGTATTGTATATTTTCATTATTTTCAAATTGCATGATACACATCCTTTACATAGTAAATGTAAAGGAGCAGTGTATGTGTGGCACACACGCATATATATATTCCACCCACACACACACATACACACACAACACACACACACACACAGAGATGTTGTTAAATGTTTACCAGCACGCCACTGCCCGGGTGAGAACATTCTCCAATGAAGTGTGTTCTCCTCAGCGCGCCCCACAAGCCTGGGGGATTTAAGGTCTGATCGGAAGCCTGACCGAAGCAAAGGAGCGCATGGCATCTCGGGAGAAAGAGCAGTGACCTGCCCTCTTCCTCTCCAGATCTCAGTTTCCCATCTAAAAAGGGCCTCCCACCGGCACAGCTCCTTAACGCACCTCTGGATCATGACGCTGCATGCCCATGGATCAAACCCCGTGCAGTAGAGCATGCTCCGCCCAGCTCAGGCCATGGCCAGCACGAGGCAGGCGGGTGCACTCTTTTGTAGGCAAAACAAGTACAAGAAGACAGACAGTATCACGGGCAACAGCTTGGATAAAACTGTTCAGGAGACACAGGAAACACGGGCCTTACTTACTTCTCAGCATCAGGGCAAAGATATGCAAATCCCCCAAACCTCCCTTAAACCCCCTGAGCAGTCACTCCTGACGGATGCTGAAGACACCGGAATCAGGCTGCCTCAGATCCATTTGGCTACCATAGAATTCAGCCTGTAGAGACAGCACCAGATGCCAGTCACAGCAAGTCATAAGCTGATTGGTGGTGCTGGTGGGGACTTTTTAAAAAACACACATCCACAGGGCCGCAGAAGATTCTAGGGTGCTGCCTCGAGACCGGTATATTTTTAAATTACCCACACGGGCCTGGCCGAGGTGGCTCACGCCTGTAATTCCAACACTTTGGGAGGCTGAGGTAGGAGAAGCTCAGGCCAGGAGTTCAGGACCAGCCTGGAAGCAACATAGTGAGACTCCTTTGTCTCTACAAAAAAAACAAAAGTAGAAAAATAATCTAAATCACCCACATAATTTCTGATTCCCACGCCGATTTGAGAACTACTGAGCAGACCTAAGATGTGGTAAATGATTGCATTTTTAACCAAAATGACAAAACTGCCAATATCTATACTTAAAAAGCCAATTATAAACAAAAAAGTCCCCAAACTCTACTTTTTAAATTGTGGTGGTTTTTTTGGGTGGGGGGGCTGCAGGCAGAGACAGAGTCTTGCTGTGTCGCCCAGGCTGGAGTGCAGTGGCACAATCTCTGCTCACTGCAACCTCTGCCTTCCAGGCTCGGGCAAGCGATTCTGCCCAGCCTCCCTAGTAGCTGGGATTACAGGTGCCTGCCACCATATCCGGCTCATTTGTATTTTTAGTAGAGACGGGGTTTCACCATGTTGGCCAGGCTGGTTCCCGAACTTCTGACCTCAGGTGATCCGCCACCTCGGCCTCCTAAAGTGTTAGATTACAGCTGAGCCACCACGCCTGGCATTAAATCTTTTTAAAGTATGATATATGCTAAATGAAATAAGCTAGATGACTCACTATATGACTCCACACATATGAGGTACCTGAAATAGTCCACCCAGGGAAAGAAGGAAGAATGGTGGTTACAGGGGGCC